TCCCTCTCTACCCCTCCTAGGTCAGGCCCTCCTTGTTACCCCTCCCCACCACCATCCCTCTCTACCCCTCCTAGGTCAGGCCCTCCCCCTCCTTTTTACCCCGCACCGCCCCACCACATCCCTCCCTACCCTTCCTAGGTCAGGCCCTCCCACCCTCCCTCTCCTTGTTACCCCTCCTCACCACCACCCCTCTCTACTCCTCCTAGGTCAGGCCCTCCCCCTCCTTGTTACACCTCCGGACCACCACCCCTCCCTACCACCACCCCTCCCTACCCCTCCTAGGTCAGGCCCTCCCACCCTCCCTCTCCTTGTTACCCCACCCTAACCCTCCTAGGCCAGGCCCCTTCTTGTTACCCCTCCCCACCACCACCCCTCCCTACCCCTCCTAGGTTAGGCCCTCCACTGCCCTACCATTCAGTCAAGAAAATTTCCAGAAGTAAAGAAAAACAATTCACCAAGACCAATACTTGCATACAATGGCACTTAGGGTTGTTTAGTTCAATATCTCCACAACACACTTGAATTTCCTAACAATTCAATGCAAAAAAAATGTTTTCAAACACCAGCAAAATATTTAATCCTTTTTTCCAATACAATAATCCCAAAGTTCGGTCACAATACCACAGCACTACAGAAGAATTGTGATAGCGCACTCTCATTGAAATGAAACTGTTTTGTGTAGCTACAGCCATGGCTCAAGTACTTGATGAATATGTCAGGAAGCAGAGCAACTGCAGACGGAATGGATCTAAATAAAATTAAATAACATTTTCATGGAGGATTGGACATCGTCTTTTAATTCTTGTAAGGAGACGATAATTATCTGGGTTGCTGCCAGCGTCCAACTGTATAATGAGATTTGTGACAAGTTTTATCCCTCTTCTTCAACCAATGCGTGTATTCAATGAGCAGGCTGCCACAACAACCCTCTTTCTTTAGATAGAATTATAAATATTAATGCCAGTCCCTCGTTACTGTAATTAGCTCATTTAACCCTGGCTGTGAGGTAGCCTTCAAAATACCTGTACACAACCAGTTGCTATAGCAACCAACAGGTGTTGACTGGAGGCCATTAGTTATTCATGCTGACGGAGTTGGCTGCTGCTGCTGCTGCTGCTGCTGCTGCTGCAGAGGCAGCTACGACCAATGAAGTGACATTACAGTTCCGCACAGATTGAAAAGATACTCCGGACCGCATCACAAATACATGTTCTCATAATATCAATATTCATATCAGTCCCTAGTCACAAAAGTTTACAGATCAATATTTTTCAATTGCATTATTAATTAGACAGCATAGAAACGATTTGATTTTATTCATTTGTGCAAATTGATTTCAACCAGTTAACTGTATAGCTTGGAATGGTATTTCTCTTTGCAGTCACTGCTGTATCTTGGCACAAAACGAAATAACATTTCCATTTTCGATCAACTCGGAGCAAGCAAATTAAAAAACAAGTAATTCTTCTGCATCAATTTTCATAACCAGCCGTCTGACCTCCAATATTTACTACACTCAGAGTAAGACAAACCATTTCGCATAAGGGAACGATTAAATGATGAAAATCTATGATCTCATTTAGAATGGCTGGGTAGTGCAAATTATCTTAATGAGTTAGTCTGATGTAATGAGGAATGAAGTTGCTAACGATGATGGAGTTGTCGCTGCCCACAACGGTGCAGGCCACAGTAGGAATGGAGCCAGTGTGATTGGCGCGAGCAGCAGACAAGCGGCAGCCATCTGGGTGTGGCCAGGTTCAGCAGCTCATCAGGCCGGACTAAACAATGCAAAACATCAATGTTAGAACCAGCCGGGGAGTCTGGGTAATGAGGCGGATGACAGTGGGGTGGGGTGGGGGGGTGATGGAGGGGGTCTCATTACATGATGCAAAGAAGCCAAAATTGCAAAACAAAGGGTGGTGAATTCCTATTACCATGGAAGAATTAAAAAACATGTCAGTAGATAGTTAATATTGTTTTCTGTATTTTGTGTATGTCATTTTGTGAACAAAAACAAAATAAAATGTCCGAAAATTAATATTGATACACTTTCTTTGAATTATTAGGGAAGTATACAGTAAGTTGGTGCCTAGCATGTACACATGTACAGCTGCGGTTAAGGATCTTAGGGTCTCGAGAGAACATGGAGTTGCAGTGTAAGGCTACAAAATGAATATATTTTGAAACACTGATACCTATATAAATCTTTTGTTCATAAAATATTCTGACCTCGTTTCTTCTTCAATACTTTGAACTGCGAGAGAGAAAGCACTGTGTTGTGTAACCCAACATAAGAAAACATGGCCCAGCAAAACATTACAAAATTATTGCTTGAATAAAAATATGCTCTTTGTTTGTATTTCTGTGGTTCAAATTACCCTTAGACCAACATAATATTCTTATTTGATTTTACAGCATGTTGGCATATTGACCACAGAAACCTGCAATGCAAGTATCAAAACTGGACAAGCCAAAGGTATAGACAACCAACAGGCTTAGGCACCAGCTAATTGACTGATTTTATAAGTCCAGTTTCCACCACAGCTGAACTGGAATTATGGAGTTATATTTAGGCTGGACTAACCAATCTATGCATAGTCCAACCAAAATCCCGTAACGAAATCGACAACCAGTTCATAAGCAACATGGCAACTGCTGTGCCAAATTTGTTCGATTACAGGATTTGCAGAGCATGTGTGCTGTCAACTGGGCTTTGTGACAGATATTTTACAAATCTTTTCATGTTTTTAATCAAGGTGCTCAAGTGATTTGATGCACTTAGTGAAGTAAAACCTGTTTTTCACAATAAATAACTTTTTTTATCGATGGCATTGTTTTGACTAGGTGCCGCCATTTTTTTTTGTCTTGTTGGTCAGTAGGTGGGCAATAGAAGGGCCATAGAAGGGCCATACAAATTTCAGCCTAGCTAAAGTCAGTTAACTCCCTTACCTCGAGAAGATGATGAATGATGCAGGTCTTAGAGGTTTAGCATTTTGGTGAAACACATGAGTAATTAGAAACAATCAGGGTGAATCTGGTGATCAAATCCACCATCATCGGTGTCTGACACTCCCAAGGGACAAACTCTGCACAACCAAATACGGAACCTTTCACAACAGCCCCACCCATGACCTACTTCTGACAGGCTGATCCTTTTCACATCCTCAATCAGACATGATATTCAAATGAATCTAACAACAGTACAAATCCCTCAGCTCCGCCAAGCATCAGTCAGTCGAGTATGCAACTCATGAAACATTAAATATTTCTCTCAGGTTTCACACTAATAACATGCTCCATTACATACTACCTCAATCAGCATTACCTGCTTCAGTGAGACCAGTTTCCTGTTGCCTGATCCAACCCAACTTATCCAACACTAAGGTTTGCTTGGGATTTCATTTTGTCCACTGTTTGTAAAACTTTGTTTTCATTGTCTTCCTCTTACGCCTGCCCATTAACTCAGATGTACTATGGAGTTGGCACACGTCTACAGGGTACAATGACACAATCAGGAGGGGCAGTGAGGTAGCCTCGTGGTTAGAGTGCTCGCAGTTTGATCCCCCATATGGGTGCAATGTGTGAAGCCAATTTCTGGTGTCCCCAGCATTTTGTCAAATATCCACAATTTAAATATTTTGTACAATCTGTTGTTCCAAATCAAGTCAAAGGGATAAAATGTAGTTGTCTTGTTTGAAGGTGTTTGAAGGTACTTGTTGATTGAAGAATATTGCAATAGGGATGTGGACGCACAGGAATCTCCTCCAGGCCTGGACACCTTCACATTATCTGATTTTTGGTGCTTAGAAGAAATCAAATAGTCTGAAAGGCTCTACACTATCACATGATGGGGTGAACTCGAGAATTAAGCCCCGATAAGACATCTTCTGGTCACCCATAGTCCATGTAAAGTTACTATTTCATCAATCCCGGGTTTCTGCCAGGGGGAGTCCTCTGGAAAGCTGTGTCAACTCTTGACATACAACAACTGTCACGACATGCAACATATTGAAAACACAAGTCATTTTTTAACATTTTTTAATCAGAGAAATTGATATCCAGGTGTTTCAAGAGACTATGTCATAAATTCAAAGTTCCATGTAAAACCCTCCAAAATGAATGTTTATGAGCTGGTTAGGGGGTCATGGTAATGCAGCTCACCACGCATCCCTCAACATACCCACACTCATGTAATCAAGGAACACATAACCATGCTATCAACAGTTGTCCCTAATGGTTCTGTACATCTGTTGCATGTCAAAGAGAGCTCTTCCAAAACAAATCAGCACAAAAAAATTATCAGCATAAATATTTGTGTCAATAAGACAATTAACAAAAAAGGCGATGTATACCTATACATATGTGATTGCATAATGAGAGGGTTGCTACAAGCCTGTATAGTGTGGGTGATATAATCATACAATGCTATGTTGCCAGGGAGTGGTATACCATAATGGCTGCCAGCAACCACATGTTACAACCTCAGATCACAGCTCAGACAGAACACAGGTACAGGTGAGCTACAGGTAGATCACAGGTACACTTCAGGTGTGGTACATGTCGATCACAGGTACAGTACATGTGTCGTACATAGCAACAGGGATAGAAATTAACCAGGAAGTGATAACACATAAGAGCACACCCAAAATGTTTGAAAATGCTACAAGCCTTTAAGATACTTAACCATTGGCTCAGGATCCCTGATTAATGATCTTCACAGAATTCACAACACAGCAAAATCTCTCGCCAATTAACCATACCAGTAACTATCTCAGTAGTCAGTTCTTAATTTTCATTCTCCGCATGGACCACGACTGGGAATAATACCAAAACAAATACAGAGTGTTTGAGCTCATATAGAAGTGGAACCTCTATGCCATTCATTAACTGTAGACATTATCTGATTTATGTTGTAAGCCTTATGAAGTTGATAAGTGAGGCTATATACACAGATTCTATTTACAATAAAATTGTTGAGCTACATTGTCATTTTGTTACAATTTTTGGGAAGTACAGTCAACCTAAGAAAGATGCCCCTGTTTTAATGAAGGAAATAACACAAATGTATGCGCTTACCAGTTAATATATTTGGCATAATATACAAAAAGTGTTTAAAGCCTAAGGATTATGTAGAGATTTACCAGTGCTCCATTTGACAGAAACAGTTCATGTAAATAACAACTGATAACATGTGTAATAACATCAACAAGATTTCTAAACTCAACCAATCTGTGTATGCTGAAGCCATCTCTCACTCTCACTTCCCACATGGTGCCTGAGGGATTGACCATTTCACTTTCAGGGGGGAGAACTGGGATTTCAAAAGTTCCAGAAAATGCAGGAATAGTATCAATTTTGTCTAAGCTTTGACACACAACGAAACAAAAAGACCTACGAGATAGTAATATTAACAAAAAAATAAATATTACGTCTTGAAGCAGTGACCGAGAACATATTATCTCCAACAAATATGTGCCCCCCCAAGAATATGAAATGGTTGGTCCCCGCTGTAAGCAGCCACATCCAACATCTACAGCCATACTAACATTGTGTGCACACACATACACAGGGCTTCCTGTGATGAATACTTCCACCCAGCAGGAGCAGGAACAGGACCACACACTACTTCCTGCAGTTGTTTATACCACCAGTCATGTTCATAACATACTCAATCAAAGGGCAGGCATATAAGCTTGGTCATGTCTTTGCAAGTTTGTTTGCTAACTCAAATATGATGACATGTATCAATCAGGTAATAATGTCCTCAATTAATTAGAGACGATGTCTCATTTTCCTATGTGCACCCCTTCCAGTATCTACCGAGGTTTGAGCTCAGTGACAATGTGGAGTACAGTCTGTTTGAAGGGTTCAGAAACATACTTCTTATTCATTGAGTTGTGAATTGAAAGAACTTTCCATAGAGTAGGGCTGTTTGACCTGCTTGTCTCAAGAATGTTGTACTTCATTGTGAACCCTCAGCATGTTGGACCGTGTGGTGGCATGAACTCACTGTGTTTGGTGACAAGATCATTTATTACCACGGCAACAAATCAGTTACCTGCTCTTTATGCTTTAAATAAAACAAAAGGACTCACTTTGGACAGGTATGAATATGGCTGAACAGCCAGACTGAGTATGGACACATACGACTTTCAACCTATCAAAAGATCCCTGGAATGACTTTACTTCTTTCACAAAATGACAAGTTAATGTCTGAAATACGTCAGTCGTTCCTACTTACAGATCCACAGGAAATTTGTGAAAGTTCAGATAGCTTCATTAAGACCAAATAATTGATGTATTGCGGCTCAAGGGACATTCCAGCAAGTTTAATCAGATCATTTACAGGGGAGGTGAAGTGGGAGTTGTTGGGGGCAGCACTCTTCATGGAACAGTGGATCTAGCTGGAGAACAGTAACAGTCTATGTACAGGAACGCTAGGTAAACCAGTTACCTACAAAAATGCTTCAAATTAATCAAGACAGAAAATTTAAGAAAATAAAAATACATTCTATAATTGCAAATGTAGTTTTTCACTCATAGCCATAGATACTGGTAGTTACATAGTCAATGGTCAGTCTGAAATGTAGACACATATATACTGGGACACCCAAAAAGTGCATTTAAGGTTCGTAGGGCCTGAACAGAGGGAGGTAACTTATGCAGACCAAAGTCAACTGTTTCTTGTATTGTGACAGAAAACTACCAGAAGAGTTGTGTTGAGGTAATTTTAAGATGCAGTCATTAAATGATGATGTTGCATGACTGAATTATGAATGGACGTTTGCATGGAAACAAACTCAGAAAGAAAGATTTGTATGTGTGACTGAAGATGACAGATGAAATCATTGGTGCAGGACATTTCACATCTAACCATCGAACCAAAGTTGTAAAAAGGATTAAAACAAATCGGTCTTTCACACTCAATACATTTGATTATGATTCAACATAAATAATACAGGAAATCAATGTTGTTTACAAGATGTTCATTCTCACTGTAAAAATACAATAACATGTCAAATGTTAAAATCAACAGATAATCTGAGGTTTCTAGAAACAGAACCGTATTTAACAATGACCACTGCTATATAGCGAATACCTCAATCCACATCCAGTTGATATTAAAAGCAGAGGGTATAGCACCAAGTATGTTGGTAAAGGGAAGCTATACATCCGCCCAAACATCATCTTGTCCTAACTAGTTGGTACATACGAGACAATATAAGCCTACGAGGCCAATCTGTGTACAGTCTAGTTCAATACTAAGTTGAATAGAAAGGATGATCCTAGCTGGGTCCTTGAGACCTTGAGAGTCTGATGTTAGTAAGTTATCTCCCTTCCTTCAACTTTAACCACCAGGAATGCTGGGAGATTTCATCCCCAGGTATTTAAGTGATATGTTAATCCCTTTTGTACTAAACCAGTGTGAGAGAATTCTATAATACAAGTGACTTGGATGGTAGGTATTGTCATAATATAAACATATCAACAGTTTAGAACTGTTCATATATTTGCACCATACTATCAATAAACTGTCGCACACAACAAGTTTTCAATTAAACAGACAATCAAGAAAACTTTGGTCACATCGTTCTCGATCTGTCTGAAGGTGGCAAGTTGAGTCAAGGGAGACAACCCACTCTGGAATGCAGAGTTAGGGCAGTGGTGTACGCACTTCAACGTAGTTTACTGGGAAAAATCCTGTCCGTCCATCAACAGATCCTTCGTACCAGTTTTCATCTATTTGTGTCAGCAGGGTGATGACTTGTCCTTCGCTGAAGCCAAGCTCTCCTTCATTCTCTGGGATGAAGTCGTACATGGCCTCCGCACATGGCTGGGAACGTGATGGGCCTACAACACAAATAAGATATTGTTTGTTGCTTAATGCTGCACTCAGCCATATTCCAGCGGCTTGTAAATAATTAAGTCCAGACCACACAATCCATCTGTCTACACAATTGGGAAACGACAATAAAGTCAACATAGCAGCTTTGCAGATTTTAATACCTTAGGGTATACTTAATCACATGTACTTGCCAAACGTAACAGCCAATGAAAACAGTTGTCACTGCTGCGCCGGTAGCTTGAGGCCACGCCCAAAAAACAGGTCTGTGTTTTGATGCCAATTACGAAGTGTGTGATTTCATCACTTTCACTTGGACACTTAAATACTTTCTATGAATATTATGAATTTTTCTCTCTCTAAATGTACCTAGTGAAATTAATATTTACAAAACAAATCGCAATCATTTGTTGCACTTTCCTTGCCCTTTAACCATGTCAACGAGTGTGACCACCTGTGTGTGACCACCTGAGTGTGACCACCTGATCCCATTAGTCGTCTCTTGTGACAAGCATGGGTTGCTAGAGACCAATGTTAACCCAGATCTTCACTGGACCACAGTCAGACGTAACATCTTATCAGCAATACAAACAGGCAGTGAATGGTAAAGTTTTGTGACCACAAAAATGTAAAATCGTAAGCTGCTGTTTAACCTGAGAACAATGTCATGCAGTACATTTTAATGTGATCAAACTAAATATTCAGGTTGCAATATAATAAACACATTTCAAATTCTGCCACTGAAAACGTCTCTCCTGGGTAGCCTGAATATCAAAGATATGGTGACCATGTTACACACGAATGAGAACCAGTGTCACTGACTCAACCATCAGTGTTTCTCAACAACAGTTCGTCCCACTCCACCTCACCAAACATTGTTACACAAGAGGTCTAATATAAAGTTGACATACACCTGTACTAGTCCAACACCATGAGTAAGTACTAAGTATAATGCTCTGTGATTAGCGAACGTAATAATGTAGACAGGTGTGAAATGTTATTGATGAATATTTGATAATAGGTGTCTCTGAAAGCAGAATTGGCTGGTTGGACTTCAATATTCTGTGGCAAATGATAAAAAACAAATTGAGCCTCAAAAGGCTGTAGCTAACCTGAAATAATGGCTGCCATGTTCAAAGATTGGAATTTAAGAGACACCCGAGTTGGGTTCAAAATATGTCATATCATATCATGTTATTCTGCACATGTAATTTCTGCACATGACATTTCATAATCATACATGCGGAAATGAAGGGCAAAAATGACACATGAGAACATTAATTTAAAAAAACATTCAGTCAGGTGAGGTACAAATCTGTGCATAACCAGATCCAGAAACACCCTTCTAGTGTATGATGTGTGATTTCTTACATAACTTTGAAATAAACAGGTATTTCCACCTGGAATTTACTTTCTTATTTCTTGACAGCATTATTATATAAGAGGAACCAAACAATTCTACTTCCAATGCCTAATGACACCAATGATAGAAGCAAATAGAAAAGAATATCTTCAATTGGCAGTTTAGAAGTGGCATTATGAATAGCTGACTTATGGATTTCAACCAGTTTTTCTATGGAACATTTTGGTACAGGTGCTGGTACCTTCACCAAGCAAGCACTAGCACCGGTACCCAAATGGCCCATAGAAGGATGAAGAAATTTGATATCAATGAGTCAACTCTGTCTTCTTAATCAAAGAGTGATGTGCACACCATGCAAACAGCACAGACAGCAAGCTTGCAAGATTGAAGGAAGAGAAAGTTTGTTTTACTCTGATATCATCTGAGACTGTGACAAACAAAGGGTGGTGGGCAAAGGTATGAAGGCATGTGCATGATGTTTCCAAGTCTGTTGAGGAAATCATGGGGATTTTACAGCGTGATGAAGAGTCAGGACATAATTACAAGCAACAGTTGATTCTCAAAGAGATACATTTGAATTCAGAATAAATATCAGACAGTTTGGTGCCACTTACAACAAGCACTTGACAACAAAATTACATTTGTCTTGAGAATTGATTGAGAAAAAGCCCCAGTATGACAGAGTGCACAGCATGCTTATTAGACCAAACACTTGATCTGGAGATAACAGGTAACAGTGCAGACTACATCACCAGCTGACCCCTAGGAGTGACCTCATGTATAACAACACTTGACAAGGTGGGATGGCACACAATATAGACGGGAGATAAACTTTACTGCCATAATACGTAACTAGTACACCAAAATGGAAGAATTTCTACGGGTCTACGCATGCAGACTTGACAAAACACTGCATACCTACCATGGAGACACCATGATCAATGGTGACTGGAACACTAGTCTGAGACTCAAATTTAGCCTTATGGGCCATAGATGGGAAAACAATGCAGAGAGAAAATAAAATGAACGCAAAGAAAAAAGAATCATTACTTGACAGGCAAGCAAAACATGAGTACTCATAACAATTTTACTACTCCTATTCTTGAATCTGAGAAAAAATTAATATATGCTAACATATGTACCTGTACCTTAATGTAGATTTTGTTGTTAAATATTCCCTCATGATGAAAACTAGTTTGTGTTAATCTTCATGATCAATTATAACCAGCTAAGCATAATAGTAGTCATTAAAGAAATTGTAAATGTTACATTAAAATGTATATTTATATACTTATCCTATCTCACACTATGCATTTCTTCCTCCTTTCAATTCTATGTGGAAATGTGTTTGAACAAAGTTTCCAGCTTCTAAAACAATCACCCCAACATATCCCAGCATTCCCATGGTCACCACCCAAACAAAGGGGCCACACACTGTCCTTCCACGCATGAGGACCTACACGATCTGATCACATGAATGCTGCTGCCACATCATTCTCATTGCCATACTATGGAGACACAGAATTCAGAGAATACATTTTAGTTGTTTATGCTGGATTTCCCTCCAACATTGTATGGACTTTACGTTAAAGTTTGAAGGAAGATGTGTACAGATAAGAAACCTCGCCTGGCCTGTCTTGAGTGTAGAACTACCTTTTCTACTTCGGACCCTCATGACTTATGCTGTCACTGTCACGGCCGTTGCAGTACTAACAAGTATTGTTGCCTGTGTGCCCATGTTACAAGACAATCCTTCATTGTTTATCGACAACAACACCACAGGCAGAAAATTGACCAGCGCTCAAAATCTAGGAACTCAGAACATGGTCAGTCTTTCGTTAAGAAGTTTAAGAGTTAGTGAGTATGGTTTTATGCCGCTTTTTGCAATATCCCACCAATATCACGGCGGGGGACACCAGAAATGGGCTTCACACATTGTACCCATGTCGGGAACCGAACCCGGGTCTTCAGGGTGATGAGGCGAACACTTTAACCACTAGGCTATCCGACCCCCGACCCCCCCAAAAGAAGTCTAAGAAGTCAACCAAGCCGGCTGTCCTCTCTTCTGTAATGAAGGTCAAACCACCTCCGGCATATCACCTTGCATCACCACGTTTCTGATATTTTTCTTACAGATGACATCCCTACTGTGCCAGTTCAACAGTCTGTTCCTGATGCGATCCACATAAGATCGATAGAAGAAGGAATAAATGCATAGTGTGAGATAGGGTAAGTTTAAAAATATGCCATTTAAGTCAATGGAATTGTGATCAATTCAGGTCCTCATCTTCACTAGTCTCATGGATCAAACGGTGAAGAAATATCTTTGCAAAGACAGAAATAATCAAAGATAATGTCCTTGTAGCTCTGAGACAGATGATGGAAGGATGGACGTTCACTGGCTGACAGTTCCTACGGGCAGGGACACAGCTAGTCTCGTAATGTTATCAGAGTAAAGCAAGCGAAGACACAGTTACTGTTGCTGAGTTTTCTAGGCAAGACTGTATAAACTTACACTCGATGACATGGAATCCTCTGGGTTTTTCTACAGGTAGAGTTATGGTGGGTTGTTTATTATGAACATGTATCAACATCACATGCACACAAAGGGTCATACTGATGATTACTACAGAACCTGGAGGGGTCCATCATGACACCTTCACTGGAAATGGGACAGGTCACATTAACAGGATTTCGGAGTGTCTTTATAAGACCTGGTTGTTTTATACCATGAGTTCACAATACCATTACTACATATGTATATGGCCTGGAGAAGATGCGGGCAGATAATTCACCTTCTGCATGTGCTAAATAGCTGCTTGAACAAGAACAAACAATTGTGTGCACACAATATTTTATACCATTTCACATGAACGGAATGAGAAAAAGTTTAAAAAAGAAAGGTATAAAAAACCTCATGAAAACCTTTACCAAATTAGTTAAAGGAAAATTATCTCAACAACAACACTGAAGTCTACAGGTCGACCTGGGTCAAACGAACAGTGTTGCCTCTGTGTACAATGACACTCCTATGGATTTTCTAATCGACTGTTAAACAATTATTCCAGAGAGATTGTACTACTTCACTGAAGTTTAAAAAAAACCTAATTGAGATTCCAGTGTTTTGTTGTACAATATTAAGGAAAAATATATTTTTCAATCAAGTTATCTAAGGGCCTTTTTCATGAGAAACCTAAAAAATAGGTCACTACAAGCTCTGTCATGCAAGTCTTGTAGTAGGTACATGCATGTAGATGACAGCATAATCTGCATCGTCTGTAACAGCAGCAGCAACAACACTGTGCTAACTATGACATAAGAACAACACTGTACTACAAAAGTCGGCCACATGCAGGAGTGGGACATGGATGCTACCGGCTAAACTCACCTTCAAACTCATCAAAGGCATCGAAGCCTTCATAACCTGGTTAGCATGGACAGAGATGAAGAGTTGAGTAGGGTACGAGGGAGTGGTCACCACCGTCAGCTGTACCACAGCTGTATGACGTGTGGGCTGGGGGACATGGTGTTACATTGGTCCACGTTGTTATGTGTGACAGGAGTGAGTGGGTTTACGCCGCTTTTAACAGTATTCCAGCAATATCTCAGCCGGGGACACCAGAAATGGGCTTCACACATTGTACCCATGTGGGGAATTGAACCCAGGGTGCAGTTGTACAAATCAACCATACCGCTACGACTGTCGTAAGTCTATGTTAAGGTATAGGAGTCACGATCACCTTAGTGCTAAGATTGCTTTGTACAACGGGGCCCAGGTCTTCGGTGTGATGAGTGAACGCTTTAACCACTAGGCTACCCCACTGCCCTGATGTGTCAGGACACAATCAGACTTGGTAACACATGGAAATAATCTTCAGAATTGTCAAGTATGAACTCTAACCAACCATTATGGACATCTAATCAACATTTCAGTAGCCTTAAATGACAAGCTTAGGGGGCTATCTCCTATCTTCAAAACTATTCTATCAAATATATCAAAGATTAATCTCATAGACTGCTTTGTTATTTAGGAAATGGTTTAATGATACTAAGTTAATTGTGAACCTACCTGTTTGGTTGAAATTCGAAGAGAAGTTGTAGCTCCCTGAGTTGCCATCGTAGTTATCATTCTTGGTCGTATCAAACATGGAGGAGGAGGGAGACTCGCTTCTCCTGAAGGAGGACACTCGTTTTGGTATGTGCTCTCCTCGTGGCTTGCTGGCTGCCTCGCTCCGTCTGTACACACATCGTCTTATTACAGCATGTCAGTTTGTGTGGGAAGAAAGTACAATGTAACACAGGCCATGGCACTTACATCTTTGATAAAAACGATGTGTTCAGGCATAGGGTTAAGAGGTTAAGTATCATAATTGTGGAAGCTATGGGATTCTAACACATGACCAAAGGGAGGCAACTCCAGTCCAGCTTCTCCAGTGCAGCCACTTGACAGGCACTGTCTGCTGTTTTAGTATTGATTTATCCACACCTGGGATGTCAGGGTGTCCTACATATAGTAAGTCTGGCTTTGCACACTAGGAACGGTAAGCACCAGTATAGAATCTGCACAAAAATATTATCCCTAAATTGACAACCAACTGCATCTTAAGAGCTCATTCTCAATGTGATAACAAGGCCCATATTCAACAAGCAGGAAATACTTATATCCCCCACCAATACTGCCATTTCAGTTAAAGTAATTTCCATGGAAAAAAATCCCCAAATTTCAAAAGGCACCAGTTCACCACTAGACCTATCAATGTGCCAAGTTTGGTTAAGATATCTCTCATGATTTTTGAGTTCTGCTCCGGAAACGAAACATGACGGATGGAAGGATGGACGGACAGCACCCATTCCAATATCCCCCTTACACTTTGTGGCAGATAATGCAGTCCTAGCAGGAAGACAAACACGTCCACATTTTCTCAATGTATTCCAACATTTGTAGCTCTAAGATCAATTTGTGGAAAAGGCCCTGTTAGTCAAACAGACTTATCTTAGACCCTGCAGATTTCTTTAGGTGATATTGGTAATGAAAGGTTGCTGCACTGACTGGAGACCCCATACTCACTTGTCCTTGATGATCTCCAGCAGAGACTGTAGCGACTCCATGGCCTGATTATGGTAGTCTAACTGCGCTTCCACAAATGTCTCCATCTGGGCAATCTGCTCCACCTGCAACAGCCAGTCCCTCAGTCAGCTGGGTAAAACTCAGTTTCCATTATATCACAGTGTCAGTATGATGTGGAACAAAAGCCACAGTGATGCAGGTTGTACATACTTACTGCTTTGGTAGCATGGGAATAGTGGTGGTGGTGGGTGAGTTCGGTTTTACGCCGCTTTTAGCAATATTCCAGCAATATTCCAGCAATATCACGGCGGGGGACACCAGAAATGGGCTTCACACATTGTACCCATGTCGGGAATCAAACCCGGGTCTTCGGCGTGACGAGCTAACGCTTTAACCACTAGGCTACCCGACCGCCCCCATGGGAATAGTGCCGACAGGAACATAATCAAGGTGAGTGAGTAAGTATGGCTTCAATCAGCTTTTAACATTATTCCAGCAATATCACGGTGAGGGACACCAGAATGGGCTTCACGCATTATACCCATGAGGAATGGAACCTTGGTCTTCGGTGTGACAAGCGAACGCCTTAACCACTAGGCTACCCCACCGCCCCTCAAACCGTAGAACAGATCCTGATAGCTGAGGGATGCAACCCTGCACAGCACGCTGCCAAACTTTAGACCACTGGGCAACCCATGCCCCATGACAGTGTACACAAACACAAAAGCCAAACACAATACACAAATGTGTGGTATTGGTGCATATATTTGTGGGCGAGTGAGTAACACTACCAGTGAATGACTTGTTGTTTAACTCCGGACTCAGCAATTTTCCAGCTATATGACGGCGGTCTGTAAATAATGGAGTCTTGAGTCTTGACCAGACAATCCAGTGATTGAAATCATGAGCATCGATGCATGCAATTTGGATATGATTACATACATCAACCAAGTTGGCGAGCCTGACCACCCGATCCCCTTAGTCGCCTCTTGAGACAAGATTAGTCGCTTTTCACAGCAAGCATGGGTTGCTGAAGATCTATTCTAAACCAGATCTTACGGGTTCATACCCAATAGTATTGATATTAATATTTCACAAAGTATATTTTAACCTGGATCTTCACGGATCAGTGAATGACTGAGTTATGATAACACCACCTTAAACAGTATTTCAGTTATACAACAGTGTGTCAGCTTAACATGGTAAGAAATCCAAGGTGATGAAACGGGATAATAATCGAGATTGATTAGAGATTCAAACTGATGACCAGCCTATCCTGCTTTGGCCAAGGGAGGCAAGTCTGCACAGTCATATGGGGCAACCCATGCTTATACTACTAACTTTTATTACAATTCACAAGGGTGGGGTATTACACTGTGGTCCATTGTCATATATATTCTGGTATCAAAAGGTCGGACAAATAAAATGTTCTCATACTGTCACAGTTGAAAACCATATCTCTTAAGGAAATAATCACCAAAAATATGATGACTGCAGATCATGCTAGGTGAAATGTAGAGAAACTGTTTGTTTGTTGTTTAACGTTGCACTAAGCATATAACAGCTATACGACAACAGCCTGTTAATAACCAAGTCCAGGTTAGAAAATCTAGTGATCGATATTGTCAGCAACGTTTCACGCCATCAGGGTATGATGAAATGCAATGAATCAAGTCACCGAGCCTGATCACCCCATGCAATAAATCACCCCTTACAACCGGCATAGGTTGTTGGGGAGAATAAACCTGTAACCCATACTCCCAGCAATAGAAACTAACAGTTTTACTCCACTAATCCTTATAATCAAAACATATAGTAAAACCCTTGAAAAGGACAAATTTCTACTCGTCCTTTGGATACCTTAACTATTGGGCAGTTTGGTAAGGATTACAGGACTAGTGCCAACGCCTAATGCTGTACTCCCCTCGGAGTTGCAACTTAACAGTGCTACCATCAACATGTTGTGATGGTGTCAACAAAGAGAAAAAAGTCAACATATGTTCAATAACTTCAATCTACATGCTTGGCAAACCAACCTCATTTTCCAACACATTGTACATAGAGGTTTCTGCAATGGCTTTTGACTCTTCAAACTTGTCTTCCGCAAAACGGAGCTCTTCATCTGTTATGTTGGAACCTAGGCAAGGACAAACATAATCACCATTTTCTTTCCAATAAAATCAACTGGATTGTGGTCTGGAAAATTAATTGCACAAATCAAAGAACATAAATCATGGCAAACTGTAAAGAAAAAACATAAATAAAAATGCTAATATACATATATACATAAACATTGCTTTCCTTTTATAGTATAGAAAGTGTTTCTTGACCAAACAGAACTATACATGTATGAGTATTTGTATTGCTGCTACTTCATGTATTTATCGGATAGTGAAAAGACAAAGTGAAATTATGTTCCAAGTTGATGACGTCTTGGCACACCATCAGTAGAGACAAAACACCACCACCATACATCACTCACTAGCCAACACAGAAAGCACTGGATGTCCGAGGCACAACCTGATGATGACTGGTGATACTGGATACACAATTATCCTTATTTCTCAAACTGTGGCATACTTGCTTCTTGACTTTATATAGGATTCAACATAGAACTAATTGTGAACAAACAGACACGGTACACTTTTGTAATTTGGGTCAATGTAACGATGTCGCTTGAGAATGTTACTAGTACTACATGTGTTATTACACTGTCTCCTGTTATTACTACATCTTGAGTTTGGCAGAGAGTTGGCATTTAATAGATTCAATGAATTACTAAGATAATAAAATGCAACTTTGCTTTGTTAGATTCTATCAAAAGCTGAGGGTTACTGAAATCAAGATGGTGCTCCTCTACAGATATATATATATTGAAGTATTGATATCGTTTTCCAACAAAATGCTGATGGACTTTTTTATTTTAAGTCTTTGAAAAACATTCAGAAGTGAATACACACAAGGAAAAGAATTTATGGATCTCAACTTCTTTGTTATGAGGAACACAATGTTTTGGAGTATATGCCCTGATATCACCTGATAAAGGAGTGTTCCTCACGCCTCAGTGTTCCTCATAATAAAGAAGTTGACACCCACAAATCCTCTTCCTTGTATTTTATTTGATTTGATTTAAACATACAGAAGCCATAGTGAACTGAACTTATATCTTGCTCTTATGTGGCCAGGTTAATATTAGTTGATGCCTTTGCATGGAACATTACAGCTAATATAAGCAGCCTGTAAGTAACTTGAGTGTTCCAGACAAAACAGCTGCTGATGGTGTGAACAAACAGTCCACAGTAACAGGACTACAATGACACAATGAGCAGGGTGACATCACCAAATTGTGACGACTGGATCCCCCACTGAGGCAGATTTGGGACTCAATATTTAGTATTATTACTCAGGCCAGACCAATATTTTTCCTTGCCTTAGGTTCCATCAGAAGAAAAGGTCTGGCCTTAGTATGAATTAGTATGCTATATTTGAGCTGTTGTTTGTTGACTATATGAAGCAGCATGGCCATGATGATATAGCAGGATATACCACAGGCAGGCCATCTTCTACAGGTCGATATGAGCATGATATGTCGGGATGAAGGCCACAATCAACACAATCACAAAGCACAGGGGCACCAGATCCACACACTCTGTGTCACATACACTACACGGGTCAAACACAAGCCTTTAACTGTTACCGCCTGTCATTTAAGCATTTTAACAAAATCAGATACATGTATCCATTGCAGACTTCAAAGTTGATAGATTATGATTTGTAAGGCATTTGTTTCTTGTAAAAATTGAACCATGAATATTCAAGTCTTGATGTTATTTCAACATTATCTAGAATGAATGCCCATTTCACCATCCTCTTGGTGCCCTAAAACCTGTACTTGAAGACATGCTCTCCTCAATGCTTGGCGTATTTTACAACCACAGACCAAAACATTTTTATCTTATCAAAATACTTCAAGCATCCTTTTCATCACATATTTAAAGACCACACTGTAATATCCCCAGTACCTGTGTGCCTAGCTTTGGTATCTTATAAAACTATTGTCATAGCCGTAACCTAAACACATACATAACCACACACCATGGACCAGACATGCACGGGTTACTACAGTGTGACGGCATGCTGGATGAATGAATGTAACAATGAATGCGTAGAATGAGCAGAATGATGAGTAGAATGAGCAGAATGATGAGTAGAATGAATGAATGAATGAATATACTACCTCCAGCTTTCAGGGAGCATGCAAAGAAATAAGTCAAATTAAAATGGAAATAGTGTTTATCTGTCAACCTGTGTTATAACTAATACAGTGAATTCAATAGAGTTGACAGTGTGGTGCCGACTGTCTGTCCAACACAGCTTCCAGACCAACAAATCAGACCAAACTACCACACACAACTTACACAATCATAGTTCTCAAGGGGATGAAAATGGATGCCATTCAATATTATTATATTCAGGAATAACTTGCTTGAAACAAAAATATCCTTACTCTTATGGCTAAATCAAACCATCTCGGGAATGTTTGTCAGTCAAGAATATCCTTTTCTCCTATACTGATATCATAACAATGTCTACCAGGCAGTCTCAGCATATCATTCTCATTACATTGCTGGCTGACTTGAAGAGGGGTATATCAGCAAACTTGAATATAAACTGAGACCGTAACCATTATTACCATATGAGTCATGCAAATTGAAATTGAAGAACCTGAGTTTCAACCAATTCCATGAAACTATAATCACACCGTGAAAATCGAAATTGCCCATGGACCGAATAAAAATATACTTGAACCAAATCATGCATCCACATAAATTGAACATATTCCATCCCTAAGTGAGATCTCGGGACAGTATATCAGCTACCACACAAGTGGTGAGATATAAAGGTCATGAGACTTGGTAAAAGGTTAACGTGGGAAATTATTCATGCACCATTAATAAACCATAGTTTGTAGAAAATATACAGCCATGGCACTGTAGCTCACGCGGTGGCTTGAAGGGAACCAATGTGTTCAGTCGTGACACTGACATATCACACAAAGGTCAAATCTGGTTTTATCAAAGCCTCGGAAGTAAGGAATTTCAAGTGTAACCAATATCCAATCACAGATGTACATCCATAAAAATGTGGCCTACATACAGGACATATATGCAATGTCATTGTGAACTTTCTGACCTGCTTTGTTGAATGAAAGTTCAAAATGCCACAGTATCATTAAAGGTATCACTACAGTAATACTTATACTGCCACAAACCTGGCAGTACGACAAGGATGAAGTGAAAATGTTACTAATATGAGTGAGTCTGCAAACAGATTTGTTGTCAAATTAGTCAAAGTGGCCGTTTTCAAATTCTGAATAGGTGAGTAAACATTATACAGGTATCAAACTGTAGTCTTAACACTACACAAACTAATAGAGGCTGACCCCAGCAAACAGTGATGTCATAAACACAGATTTATACTGCGGGGTAAAACCAAAATCCAAGCAAGGATGACACAATTACATTTATTTAGGCACAGAGGTATTGTAGTTCTATTCGGGGGGGGGGGGGGGGGGACAAAACATTTTGCATAAAATAGACTAATGTTGCTTCTTATTTCAATCATGGATGTTTCCGTACGGTTAACCTGGAACGGAATACAATTACTGTAATGTATTGTAACGTGGTCAGGATCAGTCTTGGGACATATATATGTAAGCAGCCACCAGTACCTTGTATTATCAGGTATTACACCCAACTTGGAAGCTTATTCCAGAAAGACCATTCTTCTCAGAATCCACAAAGGGAGTGCTTTGTCATTTTATGTATAACCAATAACCACACCTCATGAAAAAACAGTATATGGATGTGTAATCCAGAACAAATGTATCTCTCTAAACAATGAATTTAGTTCTCCATCTTTGAACAGACACGAAGGGGAAGCTTCCACAGTTTGGGAGAAGTTCTGACAGATTATAGGGTGTACCTAATGTCAACAGATGACAGTGACAAACGAGCAGGCCTCAATATATACCCATCAAGACCTTAGGTCCAGGTGAGCTACAAATTAATATTCAAATGTTCTCTCCATACAGTCCTCCTGGATTTTTGTCCCATTGTCAAACTTTGACACAAATGTTTTGTATATCAACATCATGTTTTCATGTAACAAAGAGAAAAAAAATTATACCGGAAAAACTATTGTACAAAAAATGTACAGCAAAAAGGAATTTCAAAAAAGAATATAAACATGATAAAATCTAAATGTCAGGCATGAAAGGAATGTAAGGAAAGATATGCAAATAGTAACTAAATGTCCAAAACAAAACACTAAGCCCTAGCTATCCCAAAACATGGCGGACACTAAGTGTGGAGGAACACGGAGCTTCAAGTGTGCAGTAATACAACCCTAAACCAGACCACAATGCATCATTATCATTCAGGAAGTGAGAGGTTATTACCATGGTCCCGCGAGCCTCCCTTGCTGTCACTTCCTGTGTAAGTAAATCATATGCCATTAAGCAGTCTACCTCACAACTGTGGTAATGCTATACACTGGGTTCATAGAGCACTAGCATGAAACAGCGTTCTGTAATGATCATTGAGTAAAGTAACAATGGTACAAGAAGGACAAATGTTATGATGTGATCACTCATGTAAATATGTCTAAAGTGAGTACAGGTTGAGTTAAGAACTGCCAATAGCATGCATGCAGTTCAAGAAACAGAAGCAATCCATGCAAGCATATACATCAGAACTTAGGAAACACTTCCAATGGAAGCTCCAACCGCTATCACCAGTTACATCAAGCCGCTCCGGACAGTGGCAAACCTAGGATTGGATTTACAGACAAAATCTGACCCCAGTGAGTGAAATAGTGAGTCTGGGTGGGTCTTCAGCCACTTTTAACAGAATGTCAGTCTTATCACTACATGTCAGCTTAAGTGGAAGCAAAGCTATGCAGGCTTTTCACCATCTGTTGAAACTAAACATTATTGATTTGGTGCTGACAAACCAAGGATCAAAACTGGAGCAAATCTGGGATTCAAACCCATGGCTAGCAGTTCTTGGCAGTGAAAGGACACAACTGTTTTTGCCCCCAGCCAGCTATATCTCAGCTATATCTGAATTATATCATCTTTTTACCACCCCAATCCAGCTCAGGGCTGACATCTGCTAAGGGGCCACATTAGATCTGAGTATTGTTATTGTATTGGTTCCTGTCCAACAGTCATTGGCATGGTAACCAATCTCCATTTTCCCTGTACACCACTCGTGACTTTGTCCTGGAATCGCCTTGAAGGGATATCAATGCAGTGACCGTGATCATCTTATATATCTGCCTCCAACAAGTAAAATCCTCTCTGCAAATAATTTAACCATTTTCCGGACTGTTAAGCCCCCAATTCCCCTACAAAAATTGATAGAAGTAATTACATTGACACCTCAAAACAAGGAACCCTCAATCCACAATTCTATATGACCACTGTTGCTATGAGACAGGTAAAGTAGGAGTAGCAGCACAATGATATATCTATGTTATAGTATAGGAACCAGTGTAGGTACCATATGCACAGGGATAAGTAGGGGAAATATCAAATATGTATCCAATAACGATATGATAATGAAATGTTTAAGCAAGGGAGTTTCAGTTGTGGACCTATGGCTATATCCAACAGCTGTAACAACCGTAGCACTAGAACCACTATGGAATGGAGCCCTTGACCACACCAAGCAACCTTTAGGCATACATGAGTATGGTCAGAAGAGGAAGTACCTTCTTCGGTTGACTTCACTCAGAAATATTCACTGACAGCTAAATAGATTTGTCAAAATGCTACATACAAATATACGCAGAACCATTCACCATAACAAGAACCAGTCAAGTGTTAGAGTAAACCGTGGGTGCATATGTTATAGAGGAATTTCAATTGTGCAATGGATACAATCATGCAAAACAAACCATTTTGTGTAGTATGTATCCACTAGTAGCATGGTTTCCATGACAATGCCAACTGTACAGACTAATGTTTAGGGACAAGGTGAGCTACCCAACACCTGCTGACGCAAGCCGAACTGCAAGGTATATATGTTACGTGAGCGTCATTACATGCCATCGCCAAATGCTCTCCTGTGGAATACGAGAGGTTCCACCTGTCACACAATCTGTTGAGATCATGCACTGTATTACTGTCTAGAGCTATTAGATAACTATAGCCTACAGTGGGAAGCATGGAGAAAAACATGTTAAATGGATAGCATCTCTTCTACTGGTTAAGTTATTATATCACAACCACCTGTTAAATGTTAGTAAGACATGGAATTCTCTTTAGTATTTCGCCATCAACAAATGTTTAAGGATGTCACCTAATTCAAAATGGGAAAAATGCAGAAAATATTTCATTTCTTCTAAAAAGTCATGTGAACTTAAAAGTTTAAATTTGTAGTTTTAGACATGGATAATAACACTTTTTCTTTTATTCAAAATTGTTTGGAAAAGTGTAATGAATGGGGTCTGTTCATGGTATGACTGTTAAAAACTGTAAGAGAAATTCCACCGCTAACCAGCACTAGAAGTTGAAGCAGCAGAGCAGTCAGTGTTGTGAGCTGAGAAGTAAAAATACTTAGCTGTAAACCATGTGTTTGACAGCAACTGTCAGAGTCTTACCTCCTGTAGGGTAGGAACATGTGTCATTAGGGAAGTAGCATGAGCTGGCAGATTGGGAAGGAGGAAATGTGTCATGAGGGAAGTAGCAGGAGGTGGAGATTTTTGGAGAGGATAAGAGAAAATGAAGGGACATAATAATCAAAAGGGAAATAGCATGAGAAAACTGATTTGGTTTTGACAACATGTGTCATTGTTAAGTAGCATGAGTGGGTGGGTGAGTTCGTTTTAACGCCACATTGAATAGTATTCCAGTTATATCCCAGCGTGTCAGCTTTGTGATGGAGGAAAGCCTGAAGTGATGCAGGTCTTAGACATGTACCACTTTTGTCAATCCAATGAGCACATGTATGGTGCTGACAAACCTAGAAAAATAATCGGGGTGAACAGGTATTCGAACCCACATTCGTAAGTTCCTGGTGTGTCCAAGGGATGCTACTCTGCATAGAGAATAGCAGTGCCTTAGACAACTTAGCCACCCCTGCCCCCTGCAATAAATGACATATAAGAACATGACAACATGTGTCATTGTAAAGTAACTTGAAGTGACAGATCAGGGTATAAAAACTTCTTGGGAAGTCGACAGATTGGGGTCAGGCTAAGTGTCAGGAGAGTAGCATGATGGGGTTTGAAAACATGAGTCATCAGGGAAGTAGCATGACGTGGCTGATTGGGGTTTGACGAAATTAGTCATCAGGGAAGTAGCATGACGTAGCTGAATGGGGTTTGACAAAATGTGTCATCAAGAAAGTAGCATGACGTGGCTGATTGGGGTTTGACGAAATTAGTCATCAGGGAAGTAGCATGACGTAGCTAAATGGGGTTTGACAAAATGTGTCATCAGGGAAGTAGCATGACATAAGGAACAGGGAAAATGAAGGATAACATGTGGTTAGGAAAAAGCATGAGGGTGAAAGAAGGTTTGGGTTTGCAGCTTGTAAAGCGTCATCAGGAAGGAAACATGAGGTTTAAGGTTGGGGTTTGTCGACGTTGTTGAGAAGCTGAATGACAAGGGATGAATGATGCAGAAGTCCAAGAGAGGAACTTTAACCAAAGACAGGCACAGAATGCCTGGTCCAATACTGACAGCATGTCAAATAGCTGGAAAATCTGACACTGAATTCACATTATACACACTAAAAAATAGGCTTGGTTCCCAGGCATTGCATCATCATAATATCTGCTATACATTTAGTTTTTTTATTTCCATTAAAAAAAAACACAACAACAGTTATTGGTAAATTTTCTGTGTTTTGAACACCTCAGCAGTGAAATGCTGGAATACGAAAAATGTAAATCAAATATAGAACACAGTTACCAGTACAATGATCCCTCGCTACAACTCTACCTTCGGGGTGTAAATAAAAATTGATCAGCGTTATAGATGATCAGCAGTTAAACGGAGGTCGAGTCGTAGGTGGTAGATGATCAACAAAACAGCATACATGTTCTGTTACCTGACACGATCTATGTAATGTTGCACGTTTCAGAGTTTAGAATAGAAGTTGTGTATGATTCATAGTGGAATAAAAGATTTATCAAGTATTGATATGCGATTAAGAAAACCACATCATATTCCTTCAGTGAATTCAGGTGAATAAACAGGTATAACAAACTTGGTCAATAAAAGTATGAAATTTGATATAGAACATCATTAGACACTATGATTTACCAATAAAAATGTATTTCCTGCTCTCCAAGGCATTGTTTTATATGCAGAGATTAAGATTACCATGTGTATTTTCTCGTAAACTAAGCCGGAAAAAGCAATCAGCTGTGCACACGTTTCCTCCCAATCTACCGGCGATTTAGTTAAAAAGTACCAAATGATACAACTTCAAAGAATTTTGATGCAATGGTCAGAAGAAATTGCATATGAAAATACGGTGAGTTATGCGATGTACCGATCACTTTGCATACGATTTCGTCGAAATTATTGTAAACATGATTATAATTATTGAATGAAATCTTGAATATAATTAATAAAATATATTAATTAGTCCAACATTAGTCCAGATAAACAATGAAAACTTTTTCTATAACCAAATATAATAATAGGATTAAAATGCGTACTTCATTTCGGATTTGTTGACTGGTGATCCCGGTGATCAGCTGATAATGTTTTCTGAGATGGGGGAAAACATCGTGTCATTGGAAAACTTGAGTTTATTAAAAATGTTAGTAAATTTTGGGAGCCATGCTTTACCGCGCGCTACAACTGAATTAGCACTATATTGAATAGCGCAATAGCGAGGGACCGCTGTACTTCCCTTGACAGTGTTTTACTGCACACCTGTGTTATGAATCATGGCTGTATTTTGAACCATGTTTTGTGTGCTTGTGAAATTTGCGATAAATAAATATGCAGAGATTGAAAATACGGTGTCATTGTCTCGTAAACCATGAACAGTTTTCATAATTAGATAGCGTAATAACATGACCAAACTGCATACTTTAGTACAGATTAGCTACTTCAAATTGGAAGAAGAGACAAAGTTATCAGGATTTCACTCAACAAGGTATAAATATATTTATCTAGAGTGCCCTATTCCCAGGATGATCGTACACAAACTGTTTACTTGATAACATACTAGTTTGGCAAAAACGAAGAAGAAAAAGAAAGGCCAATCGCCTGTCCACACTATATTAAAAAAAATCAACGCTGCCTGAGAACCCATTTTAAAATATTTTTTAAGCCACACAGATGATGACTGATATATATGATACATGTCACTATGATTATCGCTGAAATAAAGAGAAATGCCCAACAGGGGTGGTGGAAATACAATCTGTCACTGCCTTCCTTTCAAATTACCCTGTATCATTATCAAAGTAAAAAAGAAATAATGAATATGAAACAAAGAAAATGTATTGCTCAAAGTGTTAGCGTTCATATTACAAATAATTATGATAAACTGTAATTCTGAAGTCTTACAAGGATTCATTCACCATTGAGCAGAAAACAAATTTCACAATGAATTCAAGGCAAACAGAAAACAGATGTGAAAGGAATATATCAAATATGATGATGAAAATAAATTAAAATACATCATATGATGACTAAACAAAGATATATTAATGAAATATTTGATTATGGCATGGGGAATATAACATTTTTAACTGTTTTGTATTAAATGTAAGAGGGAGGGTTTTCACACATGTAATATAGATTAATGCAATAGTCGCTGACACAAAACGAGCCAACAACACAGCAGACCAAGTTACATTTACAATTAGTGTCCGTTACAGACAAACCATCATCACGAGGGATCTGATGCATGAGGTAGATGCGTGTAAGCATTGTGCGTCAGTGTGACAGCAGGTGCACAGGTGTGGCGCCACCTACGTCATCTTGCCACACATCTACATCACATACGCACCTTTCTCTTTCTTCCTGCGTTTACAATCAAAGTCCAACCGTCTCCCAGATAACTTCTTTCGATGGTGCTGCAAGTAAACACAATTGAAAAACAGTCACCAAAACAGAATAACACACAAGGCTGATACGTGTGTCCATATAGAACAGGACACTAGGCTAAAACAAAGCTGAATAAGAAAAGCATTATTTCAGTCATGGAATACAATGAAAAATGTACAATTATTAACTCATATCTTACAATAAGGAATGATGAAGCAGATGTATTCACCCTTTCAAGAGTCCAAAGGGAGACAACTATAAAATACTAGGAGTTACCTCCCTTGTATCACAGCACATTGCCTCAACAATACTATCTTTGACTCATAATTTAATAAATTTGCATTTCTTTAAAAATAATTCAATAATAATTGAACACATATAAGAAGAAATATGACAAAATATTCTACACAATCTGATCCTGCAACCCATAACCTGAAAATATAGTTAAAATTATTAACAAAACCATCAGGCAGAAACATTAAAGTCGGGGTAAAATGATGTCAACAGACAAGTTCCAGCTGGTACAGACACATTGTTAAAGGGCAGATGATCAAAGACTTTTTTAACACATTATTTGACATGAAAGACGAGTATAAACATGTGCCTGACTAATACTGACGTTGACTTCCTTGAGGTCCTTTGTCTGCAGCAGTGCCAGGGGTTCCAGGAAATTCTGTTTGACATTGTCCTCCAAGTTGTACTTGATCTCTGCGAGGTGCTTGTACGTCTCTCCCGCTTCCTGGAGGCACGATCCTGCAACAGAATAAGTCCTTCAGTGAGCGAGGAAGATGGGGTTCAACAATAGTACAGACTTTTTATAACATGAAGTTTGTAACCCAAAAATTACACAGCATGTTTGCATCTGTGGTGGAACCCACAAGCATGGGATGATATGCACAGATCAAGGATCATAATCAGGGTGAATCTGGGACTCAAACTCACAATCAGTAAATTGCACAAAGGCATGCACAGCAATCATGATAGAGTAGGCCACTGGGCCACCCATTCCAGTGCTCCCCACCTCCCCTACACACCAAGTCAGGAGGCAGGGGTGATGGATGGATGGATGGATGGATGGATGGATGGATGGATGGGAGCTAATGTGTTACCATTCACCAATGATACTCAACATGAGGACATATAAATGGAGTATTTCATAATTAACAGTGTGTGAAGCCCATTTCTGGTGTCCCCGCCATGATATTGCTGGACTGTTGCTAAAAGCGGTGTAAAACCATGCTCACCCACTCACTCATAATTAACAGAAACTTGTGTTTTTGTTTGTTAATAGCGAATTACTAAAGAATTATGTAGTTTCTTGCTCATATATGTCTTATTAAGGCCACAACAACAAATATATTGGTTTTACCAATTTCCAGGTCAACATTCTAAGATGGAAGAGACAAAATAACATAACTTAAGGTATACCAGTATGTGAGGTAAATTTAAGGTAAACGTTGAAAGATAAATATGAACACAGTTATGTACAAATAAACAGTTTCAACATAGCATCCTAAAAAATTATTTTACATTTGCAAACTTTAGAGTCAGTGCATCTGTAACACATCACAACAAATAGAAATAAAGTACTATTTGTTTCATAACTATAAAAGTCTCCCAAAAACTAAACATGTACATCTTGATTGAGGCAAAATAAACAGAATTCTTTGTGTTATGGAGTCCTTCTATATGAAAGCACTTCTAGAGAATGAACAAGCTGACAGTGTTCCTCTTGCTGTATTTACCCTGTTGTTCTCACTGCTGACCCAACCAATCTGTTAGCGATGCTTCCCCCCATGTTGACACGACAAACATCTTATTACACAAATCTGTTTAACATCAACAGATACTTCCACTCCACAAGAATATTTCTTAAAAAATTATTCCCCCCACCCCCCCTTCTTTATATGTGGCAATGAATTAGAAAACATTTGAGACATGTGGGTGTGTAGGAACCTGGACAGATGGCGCTGCACAATCAGTGTAGAACTTGTGAGGGCAGTGTTTGTGTGCTGGTCCACGTTTCATCTTTGTAATAGTGACAAAACATTGACTGTTTATCTCGGATCTGGCTCTGTTTGCATCGCGCAGCAGATCCTCAACAAAACCAGTTGTGTGGACGCTACTGTTGAAGCAAAATTCACAATATTACAAGAATGAAGAAGGAATTTCTAATTTCCCACAAATAAGACCACAGATCTGTGCCTTGGTCTTGCAGTTAGCAGATACAAACTCAGGTTGAAGTGTCTGGAGAAAACTCCTCAATAGCCTCACTCTATCAAGCAAGCAGGAAAATATTTCACCAGACACAAGGATAGGTAAAAGGGAATACCTAAAATGATCAAATAGTGATTTTATTTAGAAACACAAACTAACCTTAACACAGCTTTCAGTCAACATTTATTGCGTAATACATGGCACATAGCTATCTACAAAAACTCAGGTTTTTTATGGCATATCCAAAAAAACTGTCAAGGCAGACATAGAAAGCCTGGTTAGGCCACAAAATGAGCTTGCAGCTGAAGACTTGTTTTGTCTTGTTGATGACACAGGTGAGTTTCAAAGATCACACAATTTATTATGGAAAATATTCAATGAAACTAAAACGCAGCTACCAGTGTTGAGTCATCAGCAGTGTATTCAATGTAATCATGGGAGTTCATGAGCACAGCAATATACACCAGGTGTCGTTGCAAAAGTAAGTACCAGGTAATATCAGTTTGTACAACAGTCTCGAAACTTACACTACTACTGTTTCAAGCATGGTCTGTAAATGTTGATAGAGATGAAAGAACAGATTTGCATTATCCTGGCCAGCCTAATGTTTGGGATATTCTGTTGGAAAATGTTCTATTTTATGACCAGCTGGTTTAATTTAAGATAATTTACAACTACCAAATGCAATGCCACATGTCATTAGTTGTGAAATCACGTGTTCACAATGGCTTGCCTATACTTCCCACAGGATAATCTTGTTTCCTTGAGTGCAATGAACACATGTGTTGAAAATAAAATCCATATCACATAGGACCGGTTTCTTCATCACATAGGACCGGTTTCTTCATCACATAGGACCGGTTTCTTCATCACATAGGACTGGTGTCTTCATCACATAGGACCGGTTTCTTCATCACATAGGACTGGTTTCTTCATCACATAGGACCGGTTTCTTCATCACATAGGACTGGTTTCTTCATCATATAGGACTGGTGTCTTCATCACATAGGACCGGTTTCTTCATCACATAGGACCGGTGTCTTCATCACATAGGACCGGTGTCTTCATCACATAGGACCGGTTTCTTCATCACATAGGACCGGTTTCTTCATCACATAGGACCGGTTTCATCACATAGGACCGGTTTCTTCATCACATAGGACTGGTTTCTTCATCACATAGGACCGGTTTCTTCCCTGTATTGGCATGGTGTCACCTTGATGGAGCATTGTCTTATTGTTATTAATATTTAGTTAGCTGAAAATCATGTTGAGATTACCCTTTGTGTTAAACTTGATAGCTTACACTTTCAACTGCCTTATCTAGGATAATAGTCATATAGGTTATACCCAATAATATTGATATTAATATTTCACAAAGTATGAGCAAATGTAACCCACAAGATCTGGTTTAGAATAGATCTTCAGCAACCTATACTTGCTGTTAAAGTGACCATGCTTGCCGTAAGAGGCGACTAACAGGATCAGGTGGTCAGGCTCGCTGACTCGGTTGATTGTGTGGATCGTTGCTCATGATATCAGTGACTGGAGTGTCTGGTCCAGACTCCATTATTTACAGACCGCTGTCATATAGCTGGAATATTGCTGAGTGTGGTGTTAAAAAACAAACAATGAACAAATGTTTGAGTGAGTGAACTACTGGCATGGTTGATGCCTGTCTGACCAGGTTTTCAGCTATATCATGGCATGATGCAAGTCTTTTATATTTATGACCTATAAACACGGCAATGTTGCTGATAGACCTAGAAATATAACCTGGGCAAATCCAGGCCTCGGGGAACCCAAGGTACATCCTGATGGTAAACCGATCGAGGGTGACCCCTTCAGAACAACAGATCATCACAATCATGTTGAGCAAAAGTGTGGCACACTCAACATAACATCATATTCTCCTACACCTCAAAGTCTCTTCATGGATCTTACATAACATGATGTAGAGGAATTGACCTCTTGATATTGATGACCTTGACCTGTGAGCTGCCCATTGTCTGCCTTGGATTTGTCTCCTTGTGACACAAATAGGAAGGAAATCGGTCCATCCTAGACACTTATATCACCAGGGCATTTTCAAACAATTTCTCCATATAGAAGGAGGCATAACTTACCACTGGTAAGTGACCACTTTAATATACTGTGCTCAAGAGAACCCCCACTTTTTTCATATTACTATAATGACAGATTAACAACAGTAATATAAAAGAAATGGGTGTTTTTTAACTTCTTTAAGTAAAATATGCTATTTCAATTAAACAAATAACACCAAAATACTAAAAGAAGCCATGATAGATTAAACATAGTTAACTTCTTTTGAGTAGTATATGTTATAGCAATTCTACTAATAACACCAAACACAAAATGTAGGCCACAATTTCAACGTGTAAATAATCCCTTAATCCCGACATATCGGGCCCATAGGTGAGGTGAAATTGGGTTTAACGTCGCGTCCAAGATTATTGCACTTATATAGCGACGTGCATGCACGTGTATGTGTGTGTGTGGCTGCTTGTACTAGTCCGGACTGATGCCGATTTATAGTGCTAGCTCACTGAGATACCATGCCGCAGTTTAACATGAATACCCCACTCAGACACAGTATACTGACTCCGAGCCGACCAGTCCTTGTTTTAGCCCCTTAATGCTGAGCGCCAGACAGGGTAACAACAAGTACAATCTTTTAACGTCTTTTCGTATGACGCGGCCCGGGATCGAACCCTGGACCTTCTGCTCTCCGGGCGGACGCTCTACCACAAGACCACGGAGGCGGTCTCGGGCCCATAGCATCAACTACCTTGGGAACTGAGTGTAATAGAGGATCCTATAGTAAGTAAATTCATCAGTAAGTTCTGCTGCAAAAACAAAGGTCAATACAACCTAGTTAACAAGGTTGTTTTTATTCAATGCATCAATTAACATGAATGTCAATGTAAATAACAATGTTGACACTTACAGTTTGTCATATGCATGTGACAATTATCAATAACTAAAGATAATAATAGGACTAAACCGAAATGTCACATACAACTAAAGATTCACGTAGACAAATAAGAAGTACAGAGGAGGCCCAAGACATAAAGCTAAGACTAGAGATGTAATCTTGCCAAATCCTTTACCTCAACTGCTCTTGGATAAAATTCAGTACTAAAAAACATCATAATCAACAAGGCTGTGCTGCACAATATAAACACATAATGCTTGGTTAAAATTACACCATACAGCAGTAGAAACTAACAGTTCAGTCCACTAGTCCTTATAATGATAACTGATAGCAAAACTCTTAATAATGGCAAATGTCCACTAGTCCTTATGATACCTTAACTATTGGGCAGTTTGGCAAGGACTACAGAGCTAGTGCCAGTTTCTATCCCTGCCATACAGAATGCTGACTTAAACTTGTAAGGAGAAATAATTCATAATTGATAAGTATTCCCTATCTAGATGCCGACTGAAGTGTCTGTGTGCCTGCCTGCTCAGTGCGACCGTAGTTCGTGCCGCGATGACAGTATCACATAATGCCAG